CTTTTCAATTAGACTCAAGAGCCAGCCGCTTGGTACCGGTTATGTCGATCCGAGAAACCGAGCCAGCAAGTCCCGACTGCGCCGGAGCAGCCAGTGTACATTCTCTTTTTTTTTCTCGCGCGAAGAAGCCAAGTCGAGCCGAAACCGGAGCCGACCGAGCCCCTCAATCATCCACGCGCCACTTGTTCGCTTCGCAATTGCGGCTCGGGTGTACGCCCCACACCCGCGCGAGTGAGTGTAGTGCCCAAGCGTGTGTGTCTTTCCACAAACGGGGCGGTGTCGTATACAGTTGATTCGACGCAGCTTTGCAAGGGTTGGTGGCCCGTGAAATGGTCCCATCCGTTCATTACGCGGCGGGATGTAGTGCCCCACCTCCTCACCCTTTCTGAGCATCTCCTCCAATTTGTCTGGATATTTATCTTTTAGGTCTCGGTTCGTAACAATAAAAAAGTACACTTTTCCACGATTAAATCGAGATTAGGTAAAAATGTATTGATTTTACAGTGGCGAATGAACGATATTTACTACATCTTAACCCTCAGTAGTCAGTATTATTTCAACATTGAGCAGCATAAAAAACACTATTAAACAACATTATACAGCATGGGCAACAATATAATCATATTTAGCCTTTATTATCCAGCGGTAGCCGGAAATAGTCGGTTTTTTTTATCTCATGTCAGCCATAACTACACGTTATTTAACCAGAACCAGCCAATGTTTACCTATACTTCCTCAACATGAGAAATGGCTGAGCTATCTTTAACAGCAGCAACCATGCAGTACTGGTCGGCACTTAGCCAACAGTGGCAAGCACTGGCAATCATTTAGACAATGCCAGCTAACTTCAGCCAGTGTTAATCAATGTCAATACGTGAATTCAGCGAGAAATGGTCGCGGCACACTGCCCAACGAAAAAAGGCGCAAGAGGCGTACGACAGTCTTCGAAATCGTGTTCCGTAGCGGCGACGCACGCTTAAGTCACGTGCACGCACCGCTACTAGAAGAAATAAAGATCACGTCTCCAGATAGTAATAACTTCGGAGAAGGCATTGAGAGTCACAGGAATTACATCGTTTGACCTTCAGCTTCCGCGAAGAGCTTGGAAGATCAGACTTCACCGATCTTCCAAGCTAGGCGCCGTTAAGAAGGGCTATACTTTCAGAGAGTGAACTAACAACTCCACCGACAACGTCTGTGGTAGCGAATGCATCAGGAAACTGGCTAAAAAAATCCCTTAAAAGGTTCGTGAACCATCCGTTGAATTTGACCAGAAAACATAATCGTCCACGGTGATGTTGTAACGGTTACAAAGTTCGACAACTGATCGTGGGTTTGATCCAATGGAAGCGAAGTGCTACAGGCATGTGTGCTGAGCCAGGTCAGAGCACGTTAAAGAAACACCAAATGGTCAGCGTTTCCGTAGCCATCCACTAGTGCGTTCCTCGTAACCATATCGTGATTACTAGAAAACACGCCGTATGGAACGCCGACACTGATACGAGCAGCTTAGCCAGATCTCGCAGTCGCACGCGACACGGAAAGTTTAGATACGGAGACCGAAGATGTGATATCCTTTGACGAGTTCAGTGCGATATCACGCTACAGAGGACATGTGCTCACTCTACCCAAAGCTGCCGGTGTTAACTGTTCGACGTCTAACTGCGCGCCTTGGCGGTGCGTGCTGTCCACACGTACGCGTCATGACGCGTCAGCTCGCGGCGTGTACCTTTCTCCGTGCGACCTCTCTCTCTCTCTCTCTCTCTCTCTCTCTCTCTCTCTCTCTCTCTCTATGAAGAAAAAGTGCGTGCAGCCACACGTGGCTGCTCGCCCTCTCCCTCCACTAAAGAGTGACGCGATGTCTAACCTACACATTATGCTCTGACGTTGCGCCGTGCTTCCTAACGGGCTGCAGAAATTAGGCGTCTTTTCCTTCTTCTAATCACAACCACCGCCACCGCTCTCACGCGCTGTGACACGTATACAGCCGTCAGCACCTTTAACACGAACACCTCGATGCGTGGCCGGGGCTAGTTCGATTGATGCCAGCTGCGAAGTGCTGGGTGCCTTTGCCGAGGTAGTAACTCGGTAGACTTGGATTAGTATGTCGGCATGTGTGGTTAGCATCTTGGCAACACAACCCAAACTGAATGCAGGAACAGCGCAACCTAGAAGTAGTTACTTCGTAACTACGGAAGCGAAAAAACAAGGTTACGTAGTTACGAAGTATCTACTTCTAGGTTGCGCTGTTCCTGCATTCAGGTATGTCCTACCAACTTGCCCAAGCTTCGACGCTTCACAACCCAAACGTACGTGGTATCAGCGTCAATCAAACTGCTGCGGGACGTGCGTTGGAGCGTTCGTGTTAAAAGGTGCTGACTGCTGTATACGAGTGGTGAGGCCTTTTGCCCGTAAGGCGTCAGACTGCTGATCTCGTCGACGCGGATCCGATCCCTAGCACGGCAGCCACATTTCGATAGAGAAAAAAATGTAAGAACACTTGTACGCTTAGATTTAGCGTGTGCCTTTAAATAATCTTGGATGCCCACGATGAGTTTCGAGTCGCCAGCCGTATGACGTGCCTCAATCACATCGCGGTTCTAGAAGGTAAAGCTGCACAACTACATAAAAGTGTTGTAAACTTTGGCTACTGTTGGTTAATTATGCATTCGTGTACGACTTAACAATGCAAAAAAAACGATGCTTGCGTACCGCTAGGACACTGCTTTTTTTTTTTACAGAATACCTCAAACACAGCGAAAACAGCCCTGCACCCCAGGAATATTCGATGGTAATTGTTTGGTTACGTTTAATTACGCAGTACAGCGCGTTGATACTGCCTGGAACATATGAGACCTCACTACAAACCGCTAAGGCAAATTATCATTAGCTGTGTTGCGCGTTGGCAGTGAAGCAGAGAGCTCGAACCATAAAGGAGAGCACATAAATGGCGTTAAGCTTTAGAAACAAAAAGAATAAAAAAACGCCGTGGGGGAATAGGGGGCCGAAATAAACGAGCACTACCCGACCCACTGCATCGTTCGCACGACTTGTTATTATTTCAACTTTTTTTTTTCCTCGAAGCTACCTTGTAGGGAGCCGCCAGCTGGGCTACTTCGGTGTGTTTTATTTTTCTCCTCGAAAACGGGCCGATGTGCACTCTAAGAGCACTCTAAGAGCAAACCCAGGGTGCTGCGAAGCGATACATTCCGGTTCGTAACAAGTGAACGCCCGGCAGTGAAATTGCCCCTCAAGGGCGAAACGACACCGGCGCGGGTTCTTGATGCGTTCATCCGCATAAAAAAAAAAGTAAAAAAAGCGAGGAAAAACAAAACGAAATGACTGTTTCACGCTCCAAGTTACTGGTGTCGTTGTTCTCATGGTTACTGTTCTTCCACGCTTTTCTTTAGTGAACCCGCTTGGCTTTGATGCTTTTTTTTAATTTTTATTTTTCTTCCTGCTAAGAAACTTCCACTTGCTCTCCTGAGCGCGGTTATTCTTACCCGCTAGTTTCAGTCGATTGTCTCTGGCCTTCTAGCTATATATGACAGCTCGATGACTAGTAGGTTTTGCGTTTGATTGGCGCATATTGATGGGGGCGGCATGCCAAAAAAAAGAGGCGAGCTGCTTAGATATTGGTTTACGTGCGCGCACACACACAAATAGGAGCGTACAGCCAATATAATTTTAAGCTACTCCGTCATTACTGCGTACACCTATACACCTTTTCACAGGAAGGAAAAAAACACAGCCATGACGGGTTGTGCGCGGGAGTACAAAGGCTAAGGGCGCAACGTTGCCAGTGCATTTTCGAGGGGACGCGCCAATTTGCACAGCCCAAGGAGGGCTACGGCGGCGCCCAGGGAGGAGGCGTTTAGAAAAAGGTGAATAGGCCCGCGTACTTCTATCGGTCTTAAAACATCACTCGCTAGTTAGTCGTGCTTCATTAAGCCTCCAGTGACGCCACGTTCGGTCGATGGCGCGTCAGTTTTTTTTTTTTTTTTGTTATCGATTTCTTGCGTGCGCTATGGTTCATATGTTCATACTCTCACTTTTCTCCCACCTCATTCTTTTTATTTCTGTTATCATCATCTCCTTCCTGCTGGTTTGCAATAACTGGATCTGACAGCTGTTTTAAGTGCTACTTACATCATCAACGTGGGTTAAACCTTTATTTGGTGACCTGAATGATACCAGTAAAGCTAATATAAGGTAGCGCAGACAAAGCACATGGACAAGAGAGGGCACATTCAAGACAACACAGCGCTAACTTTCAACAACAGTTTATTACACACAGCTCCCCCTAGTACATGTGCTCCACAACGTCAAACGTCACATGTGCATAGCTTTCACAACCATAAATTGTAATCAACGCGCGTTCATCAGCTCATTACAACACTGTATTTCGCGCGCATTTGTTCCCAGTGTGTAACCATAAAACGTTTATCGCGAATACATGTAATCAAGTTTATTATTTGTCAACATCACTGATAAACTGCTAACACCCGCGTCACCAAGCGCTAAAATTCTGCCAGATTTCACTATCAATCACGTCATCTCGCACCTACTTGTACTCATAATAACCGTTTCCTTGAATTTGGCTGTGCACTTACATCTCTGGCCATGAAGGGAAAGAAAACCGTCAGGAACACCGCTATTTACTTTGTTATTGTGCTCGCGCAAGCGATCGTTTATATATCTACCGGTATGTCCGATATGGCACTTCCCACTAGCAAGTGGAATCTGGTGGACAACACACATTATGCATTCAACAAATCGGTTTCTATGCTTGTTTTGGCAGACATTCGCTTTTCTTTTGTCTGGTCTTATGCTTCTGCATAGACTCACTAACCTATTAGGGGCTGAAAAAGCCACGTTTGTGCCATATTTTTTCGCAATCTCGCAATGCCAAAATAAGCATAGAAACATATTTGTTGAAATGCATCATGTGTGTTGTCTACCTGATTCCACTTACTTATGAGAAGTTATCTATCGGACAGACCAGTAGATGCATAAAAGATCGCTTGCGCGAGCACAATAACAAACCAAATAGTGTTGTTCCTGGCGGTTTTCTTTCCCTTCATTGCTCAGAGATCTAAGTAACTACTACTACTACTACTACTACTACTACTACTACTACTGCTACTGCTACTGCTACTGCTACTGCTGCTGCTGCTGCTGCTGCTACTACTACTACTACTACTACTACTACTACTACTACTACTACAACAACAACAACAACAACATACTTCGCAGACGCACGACCCGCGGCATAAGGAGCTCCACCCCTAAAACTTGGGTAACTTTAGAGCTCGGCTCTCAGTGCAACCCTCAACCGCGCCGCAATAAAACGAACGACTGTGCGCGAGAAATCAGCCATTTGGAAGTATTATTGAATCCCTATAAGCACCACAGTGGCTGAGTACCCACAAACCCATAATTCTCCCTCTCGCGAATCGGCGACAGGCCCATTAGACATCCGTAAGGCGTCACGCGAACTGACGCAGCTGCGAACTTTGTACATGTTTTTGCGAATTCGGTCGACTGCTTCACTTCTACACCCGAACTCGCTCAAATACGTAATCGATGATGCGCACTTTAGGCGTTATCTAAAACGAGACATTTAGAGTGTTGTTACATAAGTACCACTCGCAATCGATAAAAACAAGATAAAATAAATGTTGAAAGGCGAATTCCGAGCTTCAACGCGCATCAGCAGGCTTACACACTGAAAAAAAAAGTGAAGAAAGAGTGCTTTAGTCTTTTTGGTGAATGCTGACTTGCCTCGCACGACTCTATTTACAAATATGCGTTAACTCTCTTTTGGGTGTCACCACTTCGGGACGAGATATAAGGATTAACAAACAGAGTTGAGATCTATATTCAAACACAGTCAAATACGTCGCAAGACTGTACTAAAGCTGAAAAAAAAATCAAACTACTCTCTCTACCTTGAAGTGTACGATACAGACACACAAAAAAAAGAGAACCAGCAGTAGAATACCGCCGTCATGTACAAAACATTTTTTTGTGTCGGCCCGAAAAAACTGGCACTCACGCACCCTCCAAAAACAGAAAAAAAAAAACGCCACAACTGCGGTACACTTAAGACCTGCATTGCAAGTGGGCTTGCAAATGCCCGCCTCCGCCGAAAAGAAACAAGCGGAGAGCGCGATTCTTACTGTACGATGAGGAAAGTTGGAAGAAGAAAAAAAAAGCCTCCCAATTTGTTTTGCGCGCGCCGCGCTCGAACACAGAAAGAGGGCGCGCGTGTAGGGCGCCTGGAGAGACGCTCGAACAACAAACGCCACGACGACGCGGAGTGCGAGATCGACTCGCGTGTCACCAAAAGCGAGGAGCAGCGCGAGTGCATTGAAGCGAGCCCGAAAAGTGCACAAGCGCGAGCTCTTGAAGGGCACAATAGAAACCAGGGCGGCATTCGAGACGGCACCAGCGAAGCAGGGCGAAGGACAGCGAAGCGAGAAAGAGATATCGACACTGCGCTCGTCGAGTGGGATATCAAAGCATCAAAGGGTGAGCCGCTAGGGAAATACAGGGAGAAGGAGAGAGAGATAAAGAGAGAAAAGGAAGGTAAGAGGGAAGGAAAGTAGAGAGAGAAAGGTGGTGGCACAGGGAAGCTGATAGAAAGAGAAGGAGAGAGGAAGGGAGAGAGATAAGAGAAAGAAGGTAGAGAGAAATATAGAGAAGGGAAGGGAGAGGAACTTAGGAAGGACGGAGAGAGAGAGAGGCCAGGTAAGACGCAAATAGAACGAGAGGGAAGTGGCAAGGGAAGGTAATAGAGGGATAACTAGACAGGAAAAGGGAAAAGGGCAATAAAGGATGGAGAAATAGACAGATTGAGAATAAAATTGGCAGAGGGGTCGCAGGATAGAGAAGACAAAACATACATATACATCTTTAACGGAGAGTAGAGTTACTTCCTTTCTGGGCTGTTGCCCGCGAGGCAGCAAAGCCGACGTCACAGCCTCGGCGGTGCATTTTTTTGAAAGGTCATGCACGTTTACAAGAGGACTACTGTGGCACTCAGGGAACCCTCAGTAAAAAGGTCTATAGAGAAGGACGGTAATATAACAGAAAGAAAGAGAAACGGAGACGTAGAAAGACAGTAGAGGAGGCGGAAACGAAACACAAATGCAGATATCGTGGTGAATGCTATTCGGCCTCATCCAGCAGCTCGTTTTTTTTTTTTTTTTTGGAATGTGTATTGCTAGCAAGCAGAAAAGCCTGCGGGGGCTGAAAACAAAACGGAACGCATGAAACGCTCAGGACCAAGGCGTGGTGGCGTGCAAGAGTGCATATGTAGTAAGCGTGCATGCGAGAGCTGGGTTGGTCGTATATAGTGGCGAACTCGCTGTGACATCATTTGCGTGCGAAAAGTGGCACGGTTTTTTTTCATTGTCTCGTCTCGTAATTTACCTAAACAGCAACGTTTTACAGTAAATGTTATCCCGGGGGGGGGGGGGGAGGCAGCGATTGGCTGCTCTCGCTTATGTGAGAACGCCCATCACGTTTTCGTTAGAGGAGCTTCAACTCAGTTCAATCTGCGATGCTCGCAATCGAACCCAACACCTCGCAATCATAGGCGCAACGCCAGGTCCACGCCACTGCATGGATCTTGAGAAACTATGGAAGTCAAACGGCGTTCATCACGTGAAAAGTCCAAAAATAACCTCCGTAAACATAGAGCACGAACGCGTCCTTCTCTCCTGGAGTTCGCCGTCTTCTCGGCGCGAGTCGTGACTTCGGCTGTCTCTTCACGTGACGTCACGACAAAATAGGCTCTCGATTGGTCCATACACGAGAAATGTCGGAAGTGAGTCGCCTACTATACGCTGCTTTGCCACGCGGTCACGCACCCGTTATGCCTGGTCTTGCATAAATAGCGTGTGCCATCCACTGATTTCACTACGTTTTTGCGCATTTGCAGCCGCGCAAGTGGAGATAACGACTTATGTAGGCGGAAAGCTTGAAATGCTGACAATTTCAACAATTACATTCCAATCATTAGAGCCACCGCTGCTGAGGCTACCACAGCGGTGGCTACATGGCTAGAGCGTCCGCCTTCAATGTGGGAGGTACCGGGTTCGATTCCCTGTGCCGACCGGGGGGAACTCACCGGTTAATCTCAATGGGTAGAGGAGTACATTGACCTGGCGCTCAGTTATTTCTCGATACTCCTCTCGAAAGGTGACCTCATGACGTTTTGCGAAAACACTTAGGCGCACCTTAACCCAAAACAGCCTTGGTGAAATAGCTAAGCATCCGCCGCTGTTGTGGGAGGCAGGGAACCACTGCCGTCAAGCATCTATTGGCTAAATAGTTACAAGCACACTTCTGGCCTGCTGCTCGGCAGAATCAAGTTCATAGCCTCTTGGGTGCGCACCAACCCCGTGGTAAATTTTTGGCACGTAACCACTAGACCTGCTCTTAAGTTCATTCTTTTTTACGTAAGCAGTAATAACTTTTACGGCTAACCCTAAACACACGTTTCACTAGTGGTGAGGAGGAAATAGCGCCTGTGGAAAAGGCAATGAATGGGAGAGCTAAACTACTGTTTCATCCTCGAACTCGGAATGATTTAAGGGCCCTTTCAAGGCTCGTCAGCTAAAGCCACGCCTAACTTCTTCAGCTGCGCCACCGCACACTATCGGTCTGGGCGTCTGCTCGAGTCACTGCAATGTTTTATTTCTTAATAAACACACGCGGAAACTAGTGATGAATATCCTGGTAAAAAGAGAGTCTGGGACGCTGGACTGGTCGATATTATATAAAAAAACCAGTTCTTTGCGGCGACGTACGCGTCCAACCCAACCGTTGCGTACGTTGACGCCGCCCAATACCGAGAGTTTACTAAAGCATATGCAATAAGCGTAATCACTCTCCCCGGCAACAACGCCAATTCACCTCAAATTAAAGCGGCTGCTTCTGTCCGTGTGCTTAATACGACAGAAGCTGAGGAAGCGGCGATAGCGCTAGCAGCAGCATCCGGATTCACCACTATACTCAGTGACTCAAAGGCTGCTATATCCAACTTCGCACGTGGCATTGTGGCCCCCACAACTCTGCGTTTACTATTGCCCAGTCTCCTTACAGATGCTGAGGAAGACGCACTATCCTCCATTGCGCTGGTATGGGTGCCGGCTCACGCGGGGAACCCAGGGAACGAGGCGGCCCACCTATATGCTCGAGGATTCGTCAGCCGAGCGGTGGTACCCGCCTCTGATTTGGAAAACCCTGGTGAAGCCTTGACATCCTACCATGACATCACACAATATTACCGTCTTTCGAGGCAGACAAAACCACCCCCGCACCATAAGCTAACTAAGCGCCAGGAGGTTATCTGGCGCCGCTTGCAAACACATTCATTTCCGTGCCCATACATTTATGCACGTATATACCCCGACTCGATTGATCCGCATTGCTCGCATTGTGGCTCAATAGCCACACTTAATCACATTCTCTGGGCCTGCAGGGAAGATCCCCCCTCTCTCGATCTCCTAGCCGCTCCCTCGCCAGAGGGGTGGGAGGCAGTTCTGACCTCCACCAGCCTGGCCGTTCAGCTCCAGGCCGTACAAAGGGCAGAGGAGGTGGCCATCAGGTTCAGCCTGGCGGGTCACCTACCTCCTTAAGTCTGACGACAATAAAGTTGTGTTCTCTCTCTCTTGCGGCGACGTCTTCAGCGGGGACGACGCGTAAATGCACGAACGACGCTGGTTGCAAGGCCGCCGCCATCGCCTATGAAGGCTTTCGCAAGCCGCGCTTCGACGTTAATTATCGCGCAGACAGGCGCGCGATTCACGAAGAAATAAACCACGACTCGGTTCCGTTTTCTGTGACGCTAACGAGAAAAGCTACCGATTTGAAACGTGCGTCGAAGATTGGAGTGACAGTCGTAAAAAAAACTGTGTACGGGCGAAAGAGACCCTATTGCCATTAACGATTAACGTCCTCTCCGCGACTGGGAAAACGGCTCTTGCTTTGCC